ACTTCCTTGTATGTGGATGCTGGCGCCGCAAATAAGTTGCTGAAACCGCTGCCGCTGCTGCCGCAGCCTCACGGTGGTTCGCGGCAACGGATTACTGGCTGACGCGCTGCGCCGCCGCAGAAATGAAACGCCGGGCTGGGAGGCGCCGGCTGCCCTTCCTTCATGCTGCGCTGAGCAGAAAGGGGATTGCCCTGCGGCTCCAAGCCGCTGCTGCTGCTGCTTGTGGGCGGAATCAGAGCAATGCTGCGGGAAAAACACGCGCATTGCCAGTCGCAAATATATACATCCCAGCGCGTTCAGACTAACAACTACCGTGACTAACATATGCTAGCGCGCAAAAGACCATCTGCGCCACGGCCAGCTCACCTGTCAAGTGACTCTGTCTAGATGTGCAGCACAGCGGTAGTCCACTACCCTAACCGCGTCTGCTGCAAAGTCTCGCCGAGCCACAGAACATCACCAGCTGAGAGGCCACCCTTGCTGCACCTTACTCCACGTATGCCTGCACTTCCATCACAGTGGAAACTCCGGACTATAGAGCTGCACCTGAACAGGGGGTGCTGCTGCTGTTATTGCTGTTGAGCCTGGTTTTGCTGCTGTCGTTGTAGAGCCTGCGCTGGCTGATAACGCTGCTGTTGCAGCCTTTAGCGCTGCAGCGGACGCAAAGCCGCCTGCAGCGGGGGCGTGGGCGTTCACATGAACGTCCTGAAGGTGGAGAGTAGCGCTCTAGGTCTTCGGTACTACTGATGTTAGGTTGACTTCGGCTGCAGCTAGCAGCACTCCAGTTCTCAAAAACCCAAAAGCAGTAACAAGTATCTGGGCTTTGTGCCGAGGCACGAAGCTGAGCATTCAAGGTACAGCGCAGCGCTCTCGGCTGCCGTCCCGAAGCAGCCGTGGATAGACTGGGCAGAGGGAAAAACGAAGAGACGCAGCTTTCATTGCACAGACTGTTGATCTGTCCTCAGCCGCCGCAGCAGCAACCGCACACATAAAGGTAGATGCTGAGGTGTGGAAATGGCCGTAGAGTACTCAGTTGCACATCCAGCCCTCACGGACCACTGATGGCGGAGGCTGTGCGGAGTGCTGTATGCTGCCAAGCCCGCAATTACGATCAGTAGCTGCAATAAAACAAAACACAACATGCAGGCGCCCGCAAAAGCCACCTTCAAAGATGCACCAGTGAAGCAGCACAACCGCAGTAGCGGCGCAGCGAAGCCAACACCACTGAAGACGAACTCACTACGGACGGCCAAAAGACATGAAGACCTCAAGATGGCACGCAGCAAGGAAGGTATATAGAGCTTCCGAGTCACGCTACACCAGAAAAATGCAAGTGAAGCGTTGAATCTACCGAGCGTAAACGCGCGGGTGTTCAGTGGAGGAGCACCTGTCTGCAAACGACGAATGCGACTGCCAAGGTCCCAAATATAACAGACTTGATGGTGATTATCGGTATGGAAACAGAAGTTCCCTCTTGGACTCGCTTTCATGCACTTCTTCCAGCTGTTCCTGATGCCGCTGCAAAGCTGAATCCTGCTGCCGTTGCTGCGCTGCGGCTCCTGATATGCTGCAACCCCTGATGCGTGGTGACCGAAAGGTATTGTCGTAGAACACACAAAATAACAAGTTTTACTATGTGAGATTCGGATGGAAAGAGTAGACCAGAAACATAGTCCACGAAGCCCCCGATGCCGCCTGCCTGTGGTGCTGCTGCTGCTGTTGTTGCTGGTGTTGGGGCGCGCCGCAGGCTGCTGCACGTGCTATTGCAGCTGCTGCCGCCGCTCTTGTGCTGCTTCTGCTAACTTAAGAGCTTATCCCAAACCAAGGATATTATTCCCTAGACATTTAATGCCAAAGAGTGTCTAGAAAACTTCAAGCTCAGTACCTTTCAGGACAATGGACAATCCACAGCCATGGCATTGCAATCGTTCTGCAGTCGCACATAGGCGCTCAACATCTGTTGGGGCTGTCTGAGTTCTTGTTCAGACAAATTCGCCGGTTAGAAGTACATGAACTTGACGGGAAAATTCACAATTTATGGAAAGCTACGATGAGCATGTCGTTTTTTCTAGCTTGCAGCCTAAGAGTTCACTCATCAAGCATACTAAAACCAATGAGGTTGGGCGACCTGCCAGAGGGTGTGATTATGTGCCTAAGGCTACTTATTCCTGTTGGGGTGGCACTCATATGCAAACAACTTATGGTTGCTTACGGTTGTTTCCGGTGCGTTGCATGGCCAAGCTCCCCTTTAACTCATCTTCCCAAATAGCGTCCTCCCAACCAAAATCGCAGATGCCATGTTTGATATGTGCTCAAGCAGCTGCTGCATTTTTGTACATCAAAACCCAAGTACCAAACGCGGCATATAACTAATAGAATGCGATGCTTTGAGCAACGAGAGAAACACTGGAGCCATTAGCGGGTTAGCTGCCCCAGTGTAACAAAGTGTGGCCTGTACTGTGGCACTAGGCAATAATATGCGGCAGAAGCACTGTTCTCTCGGATGAAATGAATAAACACACTCACGCTTATGATATAAATGCACTGCAATGCGTCAAAAGGACTGAATTCCCGCGCTAGAAAGAACCCGAGGAGGTTGCTCCAAGTTACTAGGAAGTGCCATCTAGCCTGCCAAAAGGAATAGGAAGCGGTCTAGCTAGAATTGGTTCACTCCAACTAGGACTTGTTCCAAGACATTTTCTGAGCCATCAGACAGCGCATACAGCTATTTTTGGAGCTCCTCGAAGTGCGGCACGCGTGATCAGAGCCAGACGCAACCATGGATTTACGGAGTAAGGAAATATTAGATAGGGGTTTAATACAGGCACTCGAAGAATATGGGACCTGAGAACAGCTACATCTTAGAATCGAGTGTAAAATGCAAAGGTTGAAGTCCTTGATCTGGCAAGGACTAACCGGAAGACCTAGAGCACTCTGCAAGAAGCTTTCAGTTGTGAAAAAGATTGTAGTTGTGCGATAGAGGGAACTAGAGAGTATACAGAGAGCCTTACCATGCGCGCTCTGCGACGAGCAACAGGCGCTGCTCTCACTCGTCTTCAGCAGGCTGCTAGAGATTACACTGACCAGAGCCAAACTGGAACGTGCTTCCGATGAGTCATGTGGGCCGGTAGGCGCCGCTCAGAGCCGCAGCGCCCTCAGTGGGAGGAGAAGATGGGGTGGATACGAGAAACGTGTAAAAGTTGTAGGGGAGCGGCACAGTATGCCGGAGGCTTTGCCACTTGTCACTCTATCCAGATTACGACAAGAAGTCTAGCGAAGCCAGATGTTTGTTAGAGTCTGATAAGGCAAAAAACGAAAGCTTCTATAGACAAAGGCGCCGAAGCCCGAGAATTCATCGAGAATGCGTCTCGATGATGGTGTGAGCCACTGTGTAAAGAACAAATAAGTGAAGACCCAGTTGTACCCCGCACTACGGTCATCACAACAGTCACCTTAGTAGTCATCATAGATGACACACGTGAAAAGCCTTGAGACACTGCCATCCTCTAAACTCTTTTGACGAATTTAATATGCAGCGACGAGAGTTCAGAGTTTGTGGAGATTCTGGAAGGTGCCTGTTCAGCATAACTAAGATCTGGAAGCTGCAGAAGTGCGTAGTTTCAGGAAAAACCTTCCGGAGAGGTTGTGAATGATTGTCGGTCAAATTCATATCAGCATCTACCTTTTACGACCCAATGTTGAGGATCATTGGTCTACAGGACGTAAAAGGGCCTGGAATTATCAATTTAGTAGAGTAAGAATCTGCACTCCGGTAGTGAGACAAGAACTGTGGGTTCGGGTTCTCCTTCCTGTTCGATCTACAAATACTAAAGGTGCACTTGACAAGTAAAATGCATCAAGATGACATCATCGTGGGTCCTATTCCACAACCGATATATCTTTTTTCTTTCAGGCGTTTGTTCTTGCTTGTGTGGCCCCGATTTGCACTGCAGCTTCAGTTCCTCGTAGCAGTGCAAGTCCGGGTTTAAATGCAGAGTAAGCTGGGCCTAATCGCCCGAGAGCTATATTTTCTTGCATGGTAACTACTTGCACTACGTCAACCTGTACTTCAGCCCATGTATTTTGATTTCTATATCCATGAAGGTCATTTCTAGCCCAAATTTCTTGAGCTTGCCTGTAGTGCTCATTAGAGGAAACTAGCTGTAGACGCTTGATTTGAGACGCTTGCAAAGCAAAAGTACAACCTATTGGTGAGAAAGGTGTCCGACGGCAGAGGGAGTAGCAAGACTCCCACGCGTGAAGTATAGTGAATAGTGTTCGCTGCTGCTACTACGTAACTTCCTGGCGCACGAACAGGGCGTCTTTCTGACAAATCCTCTCCACTCGACACATATCTATTAAAACAACACCAAATTATCAATAACCCGTCACCCATCGAGTCTCACTCGAACTTTCTTAAAAGTCGAGAATCATAGTCCTAACTCCCTTGAGCCGATTAAGGCGGTGCCCCACACCGGTGCCGGCGCCATCGCTAGCCCCAGCCTTAGGGTCTTCACAGACACTTCTGGTCTACACATGCCATCTTGCTTATTATTTGCCTTACTTCGCCACTAGTAACAAGTTTTTGCGTTCTATCAGCGTGTTAACTCCTTGTAGGCCACCAGCTATCTATCCTCTAAAGGTCACCAGCAAGCAACATTGTGGTGCCTGCGCACTACAACTTCCCCCCCGTCCCTTACCCGGACTGAACCGGCAAACCCAGAATACATTATTTCTGCTTATTCAGGCTCTATTCTTGTATCATCGTCTCTGGCTGGATATCTTCTTGATGTCCCGGCTATCTCGTTTCTCTCCTGCGTCTGCTGAGTTCTCTGCACTGCTCCGCTGTACTGTAGTGTGTGTATGCCTCTAGTGCGAATGCATTGGTTATAAAGAGCCTACATGAATGCATGCGAATGCGCAGCGCCCACTCCCTCCCTCCGTCGCGGCATGGGAAACTGCCGGCATTAGGGGTGGCGCACGCTGACGGACTCATACCGCTAAGCGTCGGAAGGGGAAGCGCGGGTCCGAACCTGAAGACGTTTACGCTTGCGGCGGTGCCAAGCACCCACTAAAGCGAGGCATCCTGTAAGGTGGTGAGCCGGCTCCCAGGTGGCTTGTTCTTCAGGTGTTTCGCGCCACTTGACGAGGTACTGGGAGTCGGCTCCCGATCCGCTCTGGTCCATGATATAATGCACAACATACTCATCTGCTGGGTTGCCTGCCTCAACGCGTGTATGGTGCTATGCGACATTGGTTTCCTGGGGAACCACTTCGGGAGGGCGTTGGCAATGGGAAACTGCGAAACGTGGAAGACGTTGTGTCACTCATAAGTGGGAGTTAAAGCGAGGGGGTCGGCTACGGTCCCTAAAGTCAGGCCCCATGAACATTCGGAAATAATTAATAATGTCGAGGAACTGCCATACCTGCGTCTCATTCTCAGGCACCTCCGGCCAGTGCCGGATGGCCTCGATCTTGTCTTCAGCGGGCTTGGTGCCTGCAGCAGTGACGGCATAACCCAAATATGTGCTTGCGTGCTTCGCAAACTTGCATTTGCTGGCTTTCGGGTAAAATTGATGTTTAAGGAAAATACTTAGGACTTGTCTCATGAGGGAAACGTGCCCAGGGAGGCCGGAACTATAGATAAGAACATCCGCCCTGCACTAATAACGGTTGTGTAATGGCATTCATGTTGGCCTGGAACGTGGCTGGCGCATCCTTGAGGCCAAAAGGAATGCGCCGATGCCCAAACAGCCCCAGAACGAAACGAAAGGCCGTCTCCGAGCGGTCTTTCTTCCCCATACGCATCTGATAGAACCCTGCTTCACGGTCAAGAGTAGGAAAATACTTGGCATCTCCCAGTATCTCCAGAATGGTTTGAATTGGAGGCAGTGGGAAGTGAGGTGTTATCGTAAGGGCATTCAAAGCCTAGTAATTGGCTACCATATGCATCTTCCACTCCCCCGAACCATCATCGAGCTTGTCAACCATAATCGTAGGAGTGCAGATAGGCGAATATGTTGGTCCTATCCATCCATTGTCCCACAGTTTAGCTTTCTCCTGTTCTTGGAATTTAAGCTAGTCTGGTGCCATACGATATATGGCAGACTTCGCCGGACGTTTCCCAGGTACAAGTAGGATATGATGATCATGAGAGTGCTCCGGCGGTCGTCTCTTACGTAAGTTATCGGGAGAGACCGCCCGACACTCCCGCAGCACCTTATTAATCTCAAAGGAAATATCCTGCGCCTCTGTCGACTTCATCCATTCGTCGAAGTTCGTATGCTCTAGTTTTTCCGTAGACCAGAAAGAGTTCTCGTCATCTCCTGCTGCTGCGGTGGATGCCAGAAGACTGCCCCAGCCGGAGGAAGTGGGTCGGTTTCCGATCAACACGCAGAACAGCTTGCCTTTCCATTTGTCCGATAGCATCAGTGCAGATGGCGGCCTCCTTGGCTGACATCCGCTTGCTTGGCCAATATCTCATATGCCTGCTCGGCAGGGCTCCTTGGGTGTACCACGATAGGGCTGTCTCCCTGCAGTTTTTCTTCACCAGCCCTGACGACGGGTAGTTCACACCACTTGCTGTTCACATAGGTCCTCAACTTATCTGACTGGAAGTACCAGGCTACCTCATGTTCATTCAGCTAATGCAACCTCAGTACTAGGCCGTGAGGGATGGGCCCCGCTAAGAAATCTCCCGAGAAACGTGCACGTCAACACCACATCGTCAAAGCCGCCGCATTCCGATCAATGCGCAACTGTTCACCGGTAGCTGCTGTCAACGTGGCGCACGAATAGGGCGCCCTTCTGACAAATCCTCTACATTTGACCCATACTTCATAAAGCACTAGCAAATTGCCAATAAACCATCACTTTCCAGGTTTTCAATACAACTTGCTTCAATGTCGTACCCTCAGAGTTCTTGCTTCCTTGGCCTGGTTGGGACGGTTCTCCGCACCGGTGCCGCCGTTAGCGTCAGCCCAGCATGCTATCTTTCTAACAAACTGCCATAATTCGTTATTAGTCAGAAGTGTCTGCGCCAGTCCTGCTTGCAGTTCGCTCACAGAGGCTAGCTAACCGGGCTGGCTAGCTGCGAACCCGATTGTAGCTCCTGCGCACTACATTACTAGCCGTGCACCTGCAGGACGAGCCTGCGATAAGCACAGACGGCCAGATACACTCCAGAATGTCCAGAACTTGAGCCGAATCAAGCATAGCGGTAAGAAGTCCCGGCTTCCCAGAATCGTGCTCACCAAGATACCACCGAGACCCTGCAAGAAATAGGTTGAGGAGGCAGCACAGAGAAACTCCTCCGCAATTAAACCAAGCCAAAGAGCTTTCAAAGGGGTTGCAGCAGCTGCGGAATTTCCTTCTCTTTTAGAAGGTGAAAAGATGGGCTCCAATGATAGCACAGCCGTTGCCGCACGAACAAGGGAGCAGCATGAGACTTGTGAGCAGACTTCTGAGCAGTAGAGATGCGATTTACATTGAAGAGAGTGGACCAACAGTACTGGGGGAGCCGAGCAAAATAGAATTTACAGGGGAATAGCCTCTCGCAGTAAAGTACTTAAAACATACTACTGCCAAGTCCTCCATGCGCCAGCATAGAGGACTTGGCAGTAGTAGAGGGCAGCACGCTCCTACGTTTCTGCAGTACTCCCTGCGCGACCGTCATTTGAAAAAAGTCGATGCAAGGGAACCTCCGATGCTACAATGGTCCCCCTCAGACAAAAGTAGGTGTTTTCAAAACAGTAGCAAGGGAAGGTCATACGTGTAGAGGCTGTAGCATTGCCTGGGTTGCATGGTGAAAACGAGGAGCGAAACACTGAGGCAGGGCTACAAACGGCGACCACGGAAGCTAAAGAAGAGGATACGCGAGCGAAGAGCTTGAAGCTCTAGCTAGTGGTAAATCGCAAGCCACGCAGCAATCGTTTATCCACTTAATGTTCACGGAGTCTATAGTTGAGGGCTTAGGGTTACTGCGCAGCTCTGGACAGCCAGCACTGCATGTTTCCGTGATACCGGACACGAGTACGAAGCCAACGTGGACACAGGTGCACTGCGCACTTTGACTAGCCCAAGAGTACTTCACGGCTAGGAATGAGGGTACGTCGTCTGCTGAAGGCATGTAAGCAGCTTCTTCTCAGCCATGTGATCATGGCGCTCTGTATTTGGCGTGCGAATGATCGCTCTGCGGGGGATTTTCTCGTGGGACTTACACCTTATAAACTTGTGTTATGTTTGGCGAAACAAAAATAAAGGGGCCTGGTTCTTTCAGTCCGACGAGCTACGAACCTATGCGAATTGTCGGTGGGGGCGGTGCTGCGTTCTACCAGTCAATAGAATAGAAGAAGCAAAAGAGGAAGGCAAATACGTGTCCCACGTGACTCTGGAAGAGGCGGCAACGCTCATACCCAATGGCTACAAGGCACCCTGCAAAGCCGAGACGAGGGTCCTCTAAAGGACCTACATGGCGAGGCTCAGTGTAGCGGGACATACCTACCGAATGCAGTTCAGGAGCTCAATATTATAGTCGCTTTATCGTGTATGCGCAAGCTGCCCACCACTCAATTATGAGCGGAGTGCCATGGATGCTCCTGTAAGCGTTAGCAGAGCCGTTCATTCAGATCCGTACAGCCCTGTTGTCCCCCATCTGACTACTGGTATGCGCACAGTGCCAGGCCGACAGGGAAGGGTTAACACGGACCACTGCTACTCTGTATTACACCTTAGAAGAATGGGTATAGTCAGACAAAACGCACCCTCGAGATTCTCAAAGGGCCGCATGCAACGTTCACGTTCAGTTTACCTTCCGGTCTGCCAAGTGCGCTCATGACCACCACATCCTATTGGCGCCAGCCAAGTCTCCTGCGATGACCCCAATGTACAGCAAAGCGCTGGACCAGCTCCCGCTTTTAAAAGAAGAAGTGGCGAAGTTCTTAGTTAATGAATGAATAGGTCCGATTTATTTTGCTGCTTGTGTCCCGGCTATCATGGTTGGTAAGCACAGCGATTGCTGGTGACGCAGCAAAGTGCCCACAGCCGTTGATTATCGGATATTAAACGCCCTTAGTGTTGCTCCGACAAACTGTTGCGGAGGTGCTTCAGGAATCCACGTATTTTGCTCTTCAAACTGTTGTAAATGTGCTTCAGGAAGCTACGTATTTCTCAACGCTTGATCTCAAAACGGGCTTCCATTGAGGGGGCATGATGAAGCAAGACCGATGAGGAACTGTTCTCGTTCAGTTCTCAGACAATACGAGTCCTGTAAACTCAAGGATGCCACGAGCTAGTATAAATATTTATGGCCAGCCCTTGCCAGGTCAGGATATCATCGCTTAGCTTGATAGCATACTGAAATATAAGTCCTGTTCTGATCTCCCTACACAAACTAAACTGCGGCACGTGCTCAGCATCTAAATCAAACGTTGATTCGATCCGAAGCTCTGTAAAGGCAAATTTGTTAAACAGGTGTTATTATCTTGGTTATAATATCAGACCAGCATATTTCACTCTGCGGTCCGAAGCTCTGTAAAAGCAAATTTGCTGAACACGTGTTATTGTCTTGGTTATATCAGACCAGCGTACTTCACCCTGCCGCTGGCAAGCCACTCTTTTCGAGTGTGACAGGAGCTATGACGAAGGGAAAAGTACGAAATGTTTCCAGTATTATGAACTGCTGCTGCATGTTCTTACATCATCATTTTGCGGACCTTGCTTGTTCAGTCGTTGATCCAACGCGCAAAGGCCCATTTGACAGAGCTCCATAGACATGCTGGATGCGGCCTTTAGCAGCGCGTGGTCGATTATCCGCTTCTACAAGTTCTTAGTACTACGAATCCCTTCAAGTAAATTATACACCGACGTATCATGCTATGATATAGGGGCCCTTCACGAGCAATCACGCGAAACAGTCTGTTTCCTCAGACAGGCTGTGAATTTTCTTCGAAAGAAATATTCGATACACGATTAGGAACGTTTTGCCGGAGTCAATACCCCAGCCAAATCGCGTCGTTTATTACTGGCCGCGAAGGTTATTGCGTATACCGATCCTTACGCCCCCATTCATTTGAGCCAACTGAGTACGCCCAAGCCGCTGTGCCGCTGTACCGCTCGTTGATTAGACTCTCTAGCGGAGCTCCTTGGCCCGAGTCTCGAGTATAAAGCTTACTGTAACTTGCGCCAGAGACGGGCATAGACGGCGAGAACCAGTACCTACTAAAGTGGCAGGTTTTCATAGAGGGCTAAGTCATGTAGAAGCCTGCTGATCATCCCACTAATTGCACTTCCCCTCTACGAGTATGGCAGGATCACTTGCATCAGCACCAATGGACAGCTGCTACTTATCAAGCCCCGTTTCGTCACACTCTGTTGAGCGAGATCCTTGTATTCCTAGGTGTCTGGCTTTCAGTTCCTCCCATTCCCCCCTCTCGTTATCCCACATTTGTCGCACTCTGCCAGACGAATGCGTAGCTCGACTTTACAGCTCACCTGACGGCCGGGAGGGAGCAGCCACTGCGCAAGGGGTGGAGAAGAGTGTGACTGTGAAGGTTCCCGCTCACACGTTTAGCCTGTGGGGGACTAAGGATACACGAATACCAAGAAGGAGCGCATTGCGAACAAGCAAGCCATACAAATTGTGCAAGTAGTCGAAGGCAGTTGGAGCAACCGTCATAACACCGTCATTTCGCAGTGGCAGTTTCCTAGTCCACTTCTACAAATTCGACCTATTTGTGGATCCAGTTTGCTCTTCAGAAGTGCTCTACCACAACTTTCCGCGCAGCATTTCTTGTTTGGGGCCTAATCCTAATCCAGAAGAAGCATTCCAGCTTTCCACTAGCAGCCACATTCTGTTCGTACTTGAGGCCTACAGCCTCTTCCATTGGGCATTCTCCGTGCATCTTTGCCGCCGTCATCTAGACAGCTTCGGTAACGTCGAAGTCATCAGCATGCAGCTGCTGATGAACTCAGGCAAGTACTGCAGCAACATGGCGAGCGCTGAAATCCTGACGCAGCCACTCGCATGCAATGGTCAAAACGTTGGTTGAGATGCGGCATCCCCCACAAGCTGACAACATTCGGCTTCAGTAGCTACAAATAGCGTATTGTGAGGTAGCAAAGCCGCCAAGCTGCTCGGCGAGGCCAGAAGCAAATAGGACGTTGTGTTGCACACTTGTTCTGTACGATGCGAAGTGGACTGGGAGCATGCTTACGTGGAAGGGTTGGTAGTGTACCCCAAAAGCAAGGTCTACTGTTTTAATTTACCATGTTAAATGAATTCATGTCGTGGCGGCACTTCCTTGCCCGTAAGAAATGCAAGAATGCCGTCAACCCTCTCTGTAAAGCGAGTCCCCCCACAACATGCTACACTCCAGTGTGCAGCGCCGCAAAGAGCAGGCGGAGCTGCGTGGAGACGAACTAGATGCAGTACCTGTTGCAGCCAAGGCGCGACAAAAAAAACACCCATATACAGCAAAACAGAAGACGGCTAGGCACTAGTACTACATACCCAGTGACAGTAGCAGAACGGCATTCGTGCTGCTAAAGAAAGACGCGCTCGCCTATAGGTGTTTGCAAAGGATTAAAAACTACCTGACCAACGTGACGTGGTCGAAGTGCTCTTTTGTTGCCTGTTCCACAATGCTTCGTTGGAATGCTTGAGATGACTGGCCCGCAGGGCAATTGTCGTCGCTTCCTTCCACCTTGGCCTTATATTCGTGTTCACGAGTCGTACCCGTTTTGAAAAAAAGGAGCCCTCTGGCATCGCCGCCCCGTTTTGATAAAGCCGTTGCAGTCATTCTTCCAGATTGCAGAATATTCGCGATTTTTCTCAATTACAGGTGTGAGCAGGCAAACTTCGTCTCTATTTGTATACTCAACTGATGTCTACTGCCGCTCACAATCAGTCGATGGCCTTCGGGCCCGTCATAGTTTCCTCTTTGGAATGTGTACTCCCCCTCTGAACACTGCAAACCAGCTCACCCTTCACTCATTGAACCTCTACAATAGCAGTTCTGACGCAATTGAACAAACACCAGTTTGAAAAAGCAACATCTTCCCCGTCATCAAGCTCACTGGTTATGTCAGCATGCTATCTGCAGCTAGTTTAACATCATAAACCCATCCTTCTTCACGCCAAGCAAGGGAGAAACATTGCCTCAGATTAAATGGAATGGAATTTAGGGATAGAAGCAAATTTCCATCATTATTCTCTGTGGTTCCCCGCAGCTGCAGAATAACCAGTCGTTTTGTCTATCTGGCTTGCCAAACACCACAGATGCACTATCCTACTAGCTCTACCGAAATTGGACATTACACTGTAGATAGTATGCAAGGGTAGACAACGGCTAGTCTGTCGCCCAGTAAGGCTTCCACAAATATATCGTAAAAATCACACATACCATGCAAATTCCATCCACTTTTCACTTCCAACGCGTCTTCAAAGCCCAACGGGTATGCAGTAAGCAATTAGAAGCTCTCCCCTTGCAAGCCAGCATAAAATCCAATGAGGTATCTACGGCTCTCCACACCTAATTAAAGCGACTCCTTGGAAGATTTCAATGCTACCTTCGTACGCTCCAGTGGGGGATGTCACAAGCTTCCTTCAGGTTAAACACTACCGCCCTTACAGGCACAAACTCAATACTTGATGTGCTCCCTCCCAAGTGACTTCCGCAGACACCAACCTGGACTGTCTGATTAAGCTTCCGGAAACACTGCAAGGCTTGCTGGACACTCTGCCACCCAGTATCAAGAAATAAAGCCACAAATTATGGGATTGGTAGCCACAGTGCTTGTGTGGCATACAGGGGAATGCAACGGGTAAAATGACAAAGGCTTAAAAAGAGGTCCACAAAGTGGCCTTAAAAAACAAGTCCAAAAAATAATTCGGCTAGACCTAGCTACCACTTTCAAGGTCGGGGAAACAGTCCTCCAGTGCTTTGTTGTGCTTGTTCCTCGCATGCTCTGACAGCTGCGAGGGACTCTGCGTCTTCATGAACGGCTGCATGCAGACCTGAGGCAGAGCAGAACCCCGAAACGCACACCGCACAGACCCACAGCCACTGCGATGCGCCGCTTAACACAACTTTCTCATCTAAAGACGTAAGCGGCACCAACGACGCTTTAAGTGCCAACACGAATTCCTAGGCCGTAAGCTCAGATCACCTGCTGGCATCAACTGCTGCATACGTTCAGAGGAAAATTATCTAGTGTCGCCCTCGCAGCTAGCTCTAGCTAGTTTTTCACGTACGGCTTTGTGTGAGGGGCTCGAAGAAATAAGAATTAAAGTCCTAAAACTGAAGAAAGAATAGTGACACTGCAGTTTAGGAAGCCCTTACTCTGCACTTAATGGACATAGCCGCTTGGTTGGTCTTGAGCTGACTCTTAGGCTCCTTCCCTGCCTTGTCATCCGCACGAAGTCGAGCTGCATTCCGCTTCTGCACACAATTACATACTCCAGAACCAAATCCTGAGGGCTAAACTGTGAAATGAGGAGTCCTCTAATTCTGCTGATGCATGCAGCAAAGCTCCACGCACTGGTCCAGTTGCTGCAGCAACTGCCGAGATTCCAACATGCGCATTGTGACTGTCTACGCCATGAGACGGACAACAACCACGCTACGAAACAACGCGCTACAGAGCGCATCCTCGCCCTCACTCCGCTACAGACCAGAGCCCCGTCCCCACTCCATAAGCACATTTTTACCGTTCACAACCTGTCATGCATCGTGCCCCTTCTGCATCGCTTCTACAGCGGTGATCTTCAGTTCAACCCATTCGTAAAGATCGAAGCAGCCTAGTGGCCTCCCTAGATGGCAACGGTAGCGGCTTACGCAAGCGTTGCTCCCCTTCCCCATTTTCACCTCCGTGTCCTATGCAGTTGTCTACCCGTTTAGAGTAAATACTGTTGAAACCTTTTACAGGAAGAGCGGCATAGCCTTTAATGCCGATTCTACTGGAAGCCTTCGTGCCTAGAGTTTGCGCCGACCAGCTCCGTGGTGTTCTTCGATGCCGTGGACCCAAAGCGCTGAGCCCTGCTAGAGAACAAATATCCAACCAACTTGGGTATAATTGTATACTCAGCCGAATTTTGTTCTGTAGATCTCATGGGGCTTCCAGCTGACGCCTCTGCCGGCGGTGGCTGGTGCTGCACCTCCTGAAATACCGAAAACTACCAACCAAGGAAGGTAGTAGCATTTTTTACCTTTCATTCTTTGCCTTTTATACTAGAAGATTCGTGGCAAAAACTCCAATAGAACTCCGTCGTAACTAATCCCTCCCCACCCTATAGCTGGAACAACGGGACACTTGCGCTGCTTTCGCAGGTCAGCGTATCCCGTAAGTGGTTTAGTTATAACTCGTATGCAGAGGCATCGCATCAATTAGTGCCGTATGTTTGTGAAGAAGGCAGGTTTTTTTCTAAATTTCGGAGCGGGCTTTTAGAAGCGGCGTGCCGTCAAACCAATCGCTTACTCCTTGAAAACATGGATAAGCAGTTTGGTTCCCACACGCTTTCAGCAATCCCCAACACATGCGAGTCGAGAAAACTGTTGATTTTTGGCAATAAGACAGAAGTGCCTCTCCCGTTTCGACCACTGCGCTCCCCTCACACCCCACAAGAGCCAAAAGAAGAGTGCGGAAACTACAGGGCACCGCACCAAAAGCCCTGATCAATTCACTGTCATTGCCACTATGAACAACATGGGGTTTTTCGTCGCCAGTTCGACCTACGGGACAATGATTGCACAAACATACATCTGCTGTTAGCCACCAACCACCAATTATTTCTCCCCGCATGGACCCCTTGTGCTGGTTGGGCTGGCTGCCGTGAAAATCAGCTGAATGCAGAGTAGTGCCCAAAGAAGCAATGGCAACAATGTAGCGCGGGAAATAAGTAACGGCAGGCGCGCGTGCAGGTAGACTTCACCGAGAGTTGTTCGTCCCACAAGTTTCATCATGATCCTAGTTGCATGTTGCGCACTTTGCGACTACGCCTTTTTACAGAGGCTCAATGCGTTGCTTTATTGTGGCCAGTTTACTTCTTAGATTTTGTCGTCTGTTTAAACATGAATAAGTAATTGCAAGACGCGTCCAGTGTGGGTCGTGGAAATCACAATTGGTCGCACTGCATAGTGGTAGTTGACACGTCTTCGCAACAATTGCTGGGTCTCTGGTGAAGCCTTCGGTGGTGGCTACAGCTGGTCGTTTTCATCTGCCTACCAAGTGATCACGCTGCAGGATAGGCCCACGTATGTGACTGCTTTTCTGATGCCCCTAAACCTGTTCTGAGACAAGTATAAGAGGAGAGAGACCACTGCCACTGAGTGTTTCGTGAACAGTCAAATTCCAGAAACCGCTATGACAGCAGCTACCCTTGCTAGCCTCGCAGCAGCAATATTTTGCTTGAAAATGTAAACCATTGCAGCTGTTTCGCAATCCGTAGGTTTTCCGTATGTTTCTCCAGGCCGCATACCGGACACAACCACGTATTATGTTGCATTCACTCTATCTAGTGGAAACACAATCGAGTTTTCGGGTATTCCTGAACATGCGCGAATTTCCGATAATATTCTTCCTAGACTGTAATCGTGTTGTAGAGTTCTTCTGGGTTAAGTTCCGGCCAACTCGATGCGTGCTTGACAGAAGTAAATGCCTTCGTAAGATGGCTGAATACCTTGTCATGAAATTCATTGTCATATTCGTCGTTAACTTCATTATCGTATTCGAGTCACTGAAATCTCTTGTGCACTTCTGCTATATATCTGGCGAACTACGTGATTAAAAACTTTCTACAAAAACCTCATTGGCTTCATGAGGCTGCCCTAGCATTCACTAGAGCAAAGTGACAAATTCGAGTATTACGCGTAAAAATTGCCAAATTACCGCCCACAAAATGCTGCAGCCACATCACGGAACAAATGCTGCTGTGAAGCTGCATGTAGTATTCTTGTCGCAGAAGTGCGCTGCCCTACAAAACCTGAATGCTTTCGCGAAGTTTAGCAAAGTTGGTTCCAACACAGGGATGCTTTTCCCTTGTTTTGTCGTGTCAACACCATTGATTACGGCATCATTGCACTAAAAGGACGGTCAATAGGGCGTCACTGTGGTAAACAGCTCTTTGGTTTGCTTTAATTGAGCATTGGGAACCAACTCGTACACTCCTATTATAATATGCCTGCCTACTGAGCAAGTAAAGCAGAAGTTGCATCGGTATTTTGCCACTTATTATCACAGCTGTTTATCGGTCCTGACCATATACTGCGACTTGGCCTTTTGCGATAATTGTGACGCATTTCCCACAAATACTGCCCGGTGCAATTCAAACGAAGCTAATTTTGTGTGAAAATAAGAGACTACGGAAGGCACCCTCACTTTATTAAGGGATAGTGAAGCCCCGCATTTGGGATAATAGTTCTCATCAAGTGGAACAGAAGCGTCGAGACATCGGAAAAAGCTTTGTATCCCTTTACGTCTTGACTCACCCTCCCCACTGCCCTGCAGATTTCTTCAGCTATCTCTTATAGTGCGACGTCGGCTCATTCAGCCGGCTGATGTGCCTTTGCCTGAAGTGTCGCTAATTGTGTACGTTCATCCTGTGCTCGCTATTCTTGACGCAGAGGGATGCTCCCGAACAGCTTGGCCTCCTTCACTAGTGTATTCCGTTTGTTGACAATTATCCATAGCATTTCGCCCAGTAGGTATCATAGAAATGGCCTCAATGCGGCAAGTCTGTTCGAACCCGCTACGCGCAGCCTGATACTAGACCACTACGGAATGCTCTGATAGCAAATGTTGGACTTCTCCAAAGCATTGTGCAAGCTCCTCGACTAACGGCGCACCTTCGTGTGACAGTTTGACCTCCAGTGCGCAGATATATTCCCATGGTGGCGCAGCGCTTGTAGTTTGCTTTTACGTTGATAATGGTCTTCCCTTTGCGGCGCCCGCTCCTTCGGCTTCAAGCGCTTTGTAGCAGTTAGTCTTTTCGTGTGACAAGTTTTTCCCTACGTCAATCTTTTTCCATTCCACCATACCTTCCAATTAACCATACTTCACTGCAGTGCAACCACTACATGCTAACAATATGCAAAAGAATTATGCGCTGCTAGAGCTTGCAACGTTCACGGTGGCCACTGCCGTCTGCTTCAAACTGTTGAGTACCACAATTAAGTGTAAACCCCAACTACGCTCCTCCGAATCTGCAATTCATGAGTACTGCATAGTTAAACGGAGCAACAGGGTGCTACCTGAGGATGTTCGTCTATTGGCCCGAAACCCTGAGGGGTGTCAAGACCAACGACCACTGCACCAGCAGCTTCCGCTGCTGCTGTTGCTGCTGCTGCTGCTGCTGCACGTCTGCGCTGGCGTCTGCGAAACGAGGCACAATTTCGTCCATTGCCGCTTCCTTTCTTTTGCTGGTTCATGTTGTGCTTCGATTGTCCTTGCGACTGCACGTATTGCACTTCTTGCTCGTCTTTTTGTACTGGTTGCTTCTGCGGCTGCCTTGTAACTGGAGCCCCTTCGGTTGTCACAGTTTGAGAGTGGCAATTTTGAGTCACACCAGCAACTCTTGCCGCTCTACTTTCATCTTTAGGTGCAGCTCTAACCGCAGCATGCTCAAACTTTAATGGTGGTGGCTGCGGTGTGTGCAAGAAAACCTGCTGTAACATGAACTGCTCATCTGCAGCAGAGAAGCAGCAAAGGTCCGTGGCGGTGCAGTCAGCTGATGCACATCCGGCGCAGTGAGTTTGCGCTGCTTCTGTTGCGGATGCAGCGTCTTCAAGTAGCATCCTCCTGCGCTTTTGCTGCGGCTCAAGCTTCTCCAGCAGCAGACGCTTCTGCTCATCCGCCAAACCAAGTGCAGCAAACGCAGAGTCGCTTGTCTGCGGGTCACAGCTGGCGGTAAGTAACAGCAGCACGAAGTGAAGGGAGGTTCTGCATGACAAATACAAGCAAAAGTACCGTGAGCAACATGCCTGAACGCGGTGGCAGTATCACATTCCTTGCTTATGACCCACGAGTTTTAACACGGTTCAGCTAAACGGCTAATACGTGTATGATCGTACTGCTGCGGCTGCCAAAATCTTTCGGTGTTGCCACTGCTGCCGATGCCACTCTGGAAGCTTACCCTGCACCGGTGGCGCCTTCAGGTGTAACCGCATCGCAGAGAAGTGGCATTTGCTGTAGCAGCCGCAGCAGCTGTGTCACACACAAAAAAAACGCAGTAAAGACAGCTTTACCAGTAATGGACCATGCGAAAAGGATAGGGAGAAGATCAAACACTACAGCAAACACAAGCATACCCTTTGAACGATCCGCCTGCCTACAGAGATGTCTGAAAGGGGAGCACAAGACGAGAAGGCATCTCCCAGCTGCAGTACCGCCTGTGCATATGCCGTGCTTCCTGTGCTAGTTCTGCTGCTGCCAGCTGTTAGACCAAAATTCTCGTCTACGCGAATAGCTGCTACACCCCGGGATGTGGTTGCGTCGCGGAGCGCTTGTGTCTGCAGCTGTTGCTGTGCGCCTCCACCACCCCAGAGCTGAGGAGTCTGCTGCAAGAGCTCAAAGGCACGCAGCAACTTGCGGGCGAAACCAGCATCTACGTCGTTATTGCTGTTGCAGCCACCACTCCTGCTGCTGAAAAAAGATGTACCATCACCACCCCCTAGAGACAGAAGGACAGCATCTGGCGGTGCTCCTGCTTGAGTGCCCTTCTGCCCAGCAGCAAACTGAGGGAGGGCATTTATCAAGAGAGCTGATATGGACTCGGCGGCCCAAAAGTAATCGGTCTGCAGCAGTAGGGTTTGCACAGGTAGTATAACAAACTGTGACGCAGTTCATTTTAGAAATTAAAACAGGCCTCTCTTCAACACGGTCCGCTTTGTTCGCTGCAGCAGCACCACTGTTAGTGACCAAGATAGCCATACCTGCAAAGATGTTCTCAACTTTCGTGCCAGCAGCAGCGGCACCAGGACCCAAGCCACCGCCGTCGCAGGTCCAAGGTGCAGAAGCCGCGCGGAGTTTGACGCTGCGGCTTCCCGCAGCAACTGTAGAAAATCCAGGAGCAAGTCATCCCTAACGAAATCGCCTAGTGTGCACACACCCCTCAAGGATGCCAACACTAACGGCGCCCCTGCGACCTCGGGGGAACGCAGCGTCCTGCAGCAGCAGCATGGCAAATGCAACAAACGTGCAGCAGCCTCTAGCAAAAATGAAGAAGACACAAAAGCGTAGCAGCAGAAGAAAGGACACGTACGAATCCTGTTTCTTGTATGCCCTAGCTGTTGTTCCTTCTCTTGCAGCAGCAACAACCGCTTTTGCCGGCGCTGCCGCTGCTGTCGGCAGCCGCTCCTTGAAGCTACTGCTGCCGCCCTGTCTTACTTAGCGTAGAGGACAAAGAGAGTCCGAAGAATCTTTCCTTCGAACTGTTTCAAGGACTTCAGGTCAGCGTTAATGGAGCTGAGCCACAGAACATGCCACACAAGCCATGGGGCAACAAAATGCCATAACCCTGCCCTATCTACACCACAGAGAAACCAACCTATCAAACTCAGTTCATTCAAAATACGAAACCACTCCGAATGTGAAAGACCAGCAGGAACAGCAGCAGCTACCGCAAAAGTTGCAATCAGGGTGGAGCTTGCCTCGCCTGGAGGTCTCGGCGCAGAGCAACGTCTACTTTGTGATCTATTTGGTCCCTCTCAGCATCGCTCTGATCCGCATATCACAAACACTGGACTTTTCTCTCTAAAATGTAGCCACTGACACGCCGTCGCGAGTGCCACAGCCCAAACCCTTGCTGAATTCCTTAAGAAAGACACACAAAGAATGAATGACATATGCAGTGAAGTCGAAAACGCAAAAGAAATCCTCGGAAAGAAGCAAAAGTGGCAACAGGCAAGACAGGAAGACGTAGAGGCGCGTAAAAAGGCAGGAAAAGACTGGAGCGAAGTGAGGGATCCACGCAGGGATTGAAGGGGATTCAAGTAGCGACTGCTCTGGAGGAAACTTGAGATATGGAACACTGAAAACAAAACTAGAGCACGGAGGATTAAATAAGCATACACAAGTAGTTGGCAGAGGAGCCAGGCTGCACTGTTACCAGCTTTTTCCTGAGTTCAATCTTGAGAGCCACGTCGGCTAAAGCTGCAGCGGCTGCACTCCTCGCATATCTTATCTGTTCCCAGTCCTGCTGCTCTTTGCAGGTTTGGTGCTGCTGCTGCAATGCAGTTGCTGTCGCTTGCTGCACGGCAGCATCAATAACTGCTGCTGCTGTCTGCAGCCCCTTGTCCTCTGCCACGACTAGCTGCAGGGTTTCAGTAATGTTGCGGCCTGCCTCCTGAAGCAGCTGCTGATGCTTTTCCCGCCACGAGAGTTTGGCACCTCGCTGTTGCTGCTGCTGCAGCTCCGTTGCTGCTGCTATTGCGGCTGCTGCGGCCTTGACAGCCAACTGCAGCAAAGAAGTGTCCGAATCATTAAACCGCGGAAGCACAGAAACGACCTCAGCTGCTGCTCTTGCTGCTGATGCTGCACATAAGAGGTCACCGTTGCTGCAGCAGGAGCCTGGCTTCCGCTGCAGCAGCGGCTGCAACTCCTGCTGCAGGAGAAGCACGAACCTGCGGTGGGTACGGATGAACTGCTGCTCCACTTGCTGCTGCTTTTCGACATCCTTCGAAAGCCGGAAAGCCTTTAGCGCAGAATTCTTGTTGCCACTCTTGGCTGCGTCTGCTGCTGCTGCTGCTGCTGTTTCTGCAGCTGCTGCTGCCGTCAGACGGTTTCGCGGCAGTATATCCTTCAGCACTACAGCAAGGGAAAGCACTGCGAGCTGCCGCGTCTGCAGCAGCTCCTGAAGTCTTAACCTTCTAGATTGCTTCTGCTCTTCAGTTTGTTTACTTGCACTTGCAACTGCAGCTGTTACAGCCTGAGCAGCAGATCTACTGTGGCTGCAGAAGGCGAAAAATATGTCCAACTCCTCAAAGGAGCGCTCCGGAGAAGCCATGATGCGTGCTGCTGCTGCTGCCATTTGCTGCTTCTTTTGCTGCAGTGTTTTGCAGCTGCGGACCACTGCCCAGGCAGATTCGCTTATCTCCTCTTCGGCTTTCCCCTTGCTGCTGCGGCTGCTGCCGGTGCTGGCAGCAGCACTGCCTTTTCCATTAGGGACGTCTTCTGAAGTGCTATTCCCCTTAATTAGACTTGGTTCAGCTGCCGCTTTGCCCTGCTGGCGTTTCACTTTCTTCTCCTTGCCGGAGCTTTTCTTTTCCTGCTGCGGCTCGTCCTGCTGCTGCTGCTGCTGCTGGTCACCTGGCGCTGTCCATACTCCATCTAGCCCCCTTACAGGCAGCACCATCTCCGGGGCTTCTGCCTTTAGCGCTGCAGATGTAGTAGATGGCATTAGCCGCTGCAACTTACTCTGGAGCAGAGTGCCTCGTCGAACTGTTGCAGCTGCAGGGGCAGCAGCGACAGCTGCAGCAGCATCTTCCGCTGCGGCAGCTTCCCGTCTTCTTTTTTTACCCATTTTGCAGCTCTACGTTTGATAAAATTTGCCCGTATGCCTCAGCTGAAGATGCCGCCGCAGCGGTTGTTGCCCCTGTTATTGCTTCACTTGCTGCTCCTGTTGCAGCTGCTATGTGGGGCGCAGCATGGAACTACAGGCTACTAAAACAAGAGCCTCTAGTCATTCAGAGAATCTTCAAAGGCTCAAAAAAGCCAATTGTTCATGCAGGGATAAATTTGCAGCAGTATCTTCGGCTACAGTGGCTACTGCAGCAGCTCTGCAGCAGCAAGCACGCTGCGCAAAGTCGCAGCAGCCAACTGCTGAGTTGGCAGCGAACCCTCCACACCAATAGCCCCCAAGACACGGAGTGCCACACCGATGAGGCCTGTCTCCAATCTATGCTGCAGGCTTCAGATCTGAAACAAAAAATCCTAGATCGAAACATAACGCCCTGAAATTCCAGCTGGTGAGACATCGAGGAGCTGGAGGTTGCAGGAGGCGTAAAGCTCACTGGATTCGATTCAGCTGCTAGCTGTGACGAACCAGCCATCCAGCAAAGCCAAACCACACAGTTAACAGCAGTATGCCCGCGGCAGCTGTTGCCGCATCTGTGACTCTTCTTAGATACAGTGAACAGTCAGTGGTTGAGCCGCAGCAGCAAGCTGAACTAACTGCAGCGGCAGCAACAGTAAGCAGCACCGAGGAGACCCAGGCAGCCGTCTCGCATTCACTCTGCAGCGGCAGCTGAAGGAAGCAGCTGCAGCATCAAAGACAGTATCGGAATCAAGGAAAGCGTCGGCAGCACATCAAGAAATGAGGAAGGGGTCTTTTCGGCTCGCTGCGGAAACTGGCTCCGTTTGAAGCCTCCAAACCGCATTATTTCTACCGAGACATCTTTTTTTTGCTTAATTTCTTTGAAATATAAACGCAGATCTGCCTGTCTCCCGCTTTGCTCGAAGGAACACAAGTTGCAGCCTCGCGAGCGCGGCTTGCCTCTTCTGCATCACGTCTTCGATGCTGCACAAAGCCGCAGCAGCAGCAGAACAGCAACAGCTGCAACAGATGCTACCTTTGTATGCCTCGCCACAGCAATGCAAGAGACATGCTGCTCCCCCGGCAGCCCCTGCTTATCTGGACGATCTCACCGCCCGCCTAACGGAGCAGCTGTCGCTCTCAAGACCCCCCCATAGAGCAGCAGACAAGGCAGCAGCAGCTCCTGCTTCTCCGGGGCCTTGCTCTGTGCCTCCCAATGATGCAGCGGCAGAGTCGGAAAGCCCAGAAGTCTTGGAGGAAGTCACGCGGCTCCTCGAGCCCCTTCCGAAGCTGCTGCACAACGCACTCGAACAGCAGCAGCAGCAACAGCAGCAGCAGCACAACGAAGTGGTAGTAATGCTGCTGAAGGGGGTGCGGGGGCTGCGCCAGCTGCTGTCTGCTGCTGGAGAGATTCCAATAGCTGCATGTCTTCGTGCAGGTGCCCTGCCCCTCCTTGTTGGCTGCCTCGCGCACCACAGCAAAGCACTCATGGTCAGTTCTGCTGCTGCTTTTGCTGCGGGGATTGCTTGAACTGTGCTGCTGCTTGTGGCTCTTTGTGCTGCTGCTGCTGCGCAAGTCGAGTCTCACTTGCATTGTTCAGTGTTGTTAGGTTTGTTCGTTTGCGGGGGCAGCAGCGCCAGGCAAGGGAAGCGCAACACTAGCAGCAGCAAAAGTGCATGCGTGCGAGTGTTGCTGCTGCTGCAGCTGGAAGCCGCGTGGTGCCTGACGAACCTCGGAAGCGGCAGCAGCGCGGACGCTGCTGCTGTCGTCAGCTGCGGGACTTTGGGTTTCATCTTTTGCAGCATTTTCAGCTTCTCGCCCGAATCTCTTGCGCTTCCCTGCAGCCCCCTGACTTCGCCGCGGGGGGCTCAGCAGCAAGCCACGGGCAGCCCCGGGGCCTCGCGGGAGGCCAGCGGCTTGCCCACAGAGGAAGAAGCCTTTGAGCAGCTGCTGTGGGCTTTGGGGAACATCACGGGCGACAGCGCTGCGTACAGAGACATTGTGTTGTCGCAGGAGCTGCTGCAGGAGCATGTGCGTTCTCTGCTGCTGCAGCCGCCGCAGCAGCACGAACAGCTGCAGCGGCAGCAGGAAGCTGCGCAGCGGCACGCCATTACTCCGCAGCTCCAGCAGCTGCTGCTGCAGCAGCTCCACCGCATAGCGGGCTCAGCACCGCAACAGTGCACCGCGCAGCTACAAGGGCAGCCGCTGCTGCCGTCGCTGCACCAACAGGTGTTGCTGCTGCTGCAGCATGCCAAACGCCCCCAGACATGGCGCACTGCCGTGTGGCTCATTTCTAACCTATGCAGGGGAACGCCTAGGCCAGAGGTCAGCCTTCACTGCGGCCCCTACATCCTGCAGGCACAGCGCAAAGGGTAGTTTGTTAGCTACGCGAATCAGGGCTCACAGGCGAAGTCTTGAAATCTAAACTTCATTGTCAGCCTGTCACAAGAGGATTTGTGCAGCTCCTACTTACTTTTGGGTAAATTCAATTAGTATTTTCGAGCTATGTTACGCAGCAGAGTCCGTATGCTTTGGTGCTGCAGGCAAAGCTGCTTTCGCCGCTGGTGCCGTTGCTGCGGCACGCGCTGCAGCAGGCCTCACCGCAGCAGGTGCTGCCACCGCAGCAGCACGCCGAGCTGATTCTGCAGCAAGAGACGCTGGCGGACGTGTGCTGGGCTATAGATGGCCTCGTAACGAGGCCCGAAGGGGTCTCATTGCTGCTGCAGACGCCACCGCTGTTGCTGCACGTCGTACATGCCCTGGCTCACAGCAGCGGGTGCTGTTGCTGCGCCGTTGATTCTACCCCTAACGAGGGAGTAGAAGGAAACGCTGCATCTAATGCACGCACTTTTGAGCTGGACGTTCTGACAGGGCGGAGAAATAGATGCTGTCGCGTGTGTAACCCCCAACTGGCGCACCTGTTGCAGGACCCGCAGCAACAGCAGCACATGCTGCTTCCACTACATCCGGCGCTACGCATTATTGGGCAAATTGCAGCAGGAACAGCTCGGCATACCCAGCAACTACTGTCCAGCTGCTGTTGCATGAGATGTCTGGCAAGCGCAACAGCTGCTGTACACGGCTCCACCGGGAGCAGCAGCAATGCAGGCGGTTGCCTTCCGCCTGAGGAAACCCTCAAGCCTTGCTGCTCTAGAGGAACCCCCGTAGTGCTGCGGTGTCTGCGAGCCCTGCTGATTCGCGTTAGTCTCCCTTCTCTGTGCAGAGAGGCATGCTGGGCCCTCAGCAACTTAGCTGTGGGCAACAGTGAACAACTGCAGCAGCTACTGCAGTGCAACATTCCGCAGTATGCTCTGATGCTGCTTGAACAACCACACTTAGGTGATGAGCTGCGCAAAGAGGCGCTGTGGCTCGTGTCCAACGCATGCACCACTGCAGCAACGTTTCAGCAGCTGCTCGTGATGCTTCAACATGGCGCACTACGGCATTTGTGGGCTCTTCTAGAGGCTGCTGCTGCTGCAGCCGACGGCAGGGCCGCAGAAGCGGCCCTCAACGCAATATATAACGTTGTGTTTTTGGCAGAGGCAGCGCAACAGCAACGATCTGGCATGATCTCTTGTGGTTGCTGTGGCGCTACAGCAGCAGCGGCGCAGTGCTCCTGCTGCTGCCACAAGCCGCTGCTACTGCTATCTTCTCTAATGCCAGGAGATGAGGGACTAATGCTGCTGCAGCAAGTACGCCAGCAGCATTTAACTGATGCAGCGGACATAAAAAGTGACCAGCTCGCCTGCAAGCTTTTGCATTTACGGAACACCATCAATCCCTCCATGTCCAGTGGGGGAAACTGCCAACTGTTTGTCAATTGAACTTCGTGGGAAGAATCGTGGCACTGTTGCCACTACCACTTTTCCGGTGGCGCGCTGCCAAGAGACCTACTTGATGTGCACTCCGGGCAGCCTTTTGGCGACCGCTTGAAATGTTGCTTGACCGACTGTTTCTTTAGCTGCTACGCCTTGCCGCAACACAGCCGCAAGGACTGAACGGAAGGTTTGCTTTGCTTTTGTCACTTTTTCTGGATGCAAGCGCGAACTGCATGCTTGCTCCAGGGATGAATTTGCAGGTGTTTGGCGTGCCTCCTGGCGAAGGCGAAGCAAATGCCGATTCGTGACGTGTCACTGACGCAGTGCTGTAAGAGCTGCAGCGACTCCGTGAAAATCACGGTGGATGTGTTTGCTTGGGGAACAACTCATTGCTGCTCTGTTCCCGAATCTCAAAACTGTGCTTTTGTTCTCACTGTTCATTTGGCGCGTTTTCCTTGCCTTTACAACGAACCCTTTTAGAAGCGCTACAGACGCAGCTTGGAACTTCTGTATCGCTACTAACGAATGGAAAATCCGATAAATTGTTGTTTCGCAAACCCAGCAGGCGCGCGTGTCTACAAGCACATTGCACAACAGCAGCAGGATCTTTCGCCTCCCGTTTTTCTCTGCTTGCGTCTTAACTTTGCTTAGCATTCCTTGTTATTGCTTGGCACTTAGGAGAGACCCGACGATTCCACAAAAAACGCCAACTGCTTGCCAAGATAATAGCCTGAGTAGACGGGAATGTTCATTTTAGCTCAGGGCAGGATTTTTTCGAAGCATGCTGCACAGATTTCTCGTTCTGTAGTTCTGCCACAAGATGCTAATGGGCAGTGCCCTGCAAATATAAAAACAACTGAAAGCGTGCCTGCCGCAGGCAAGCTCCTAGACACAAAACTTGCGCAGACCAAACATGATTTAGGGTGCATGGAGAAGAAATGAGAAGCGTTTGTGCTCCCACTTCGCAGCACCTAAAGTGCGTTATATTGATCAGTGAGAAGCGTCACTGGCGACAGGGAAGATGCGAAGTTTTAAGGCGAAGGGAGCTTCGCGCAATGTCGGTGCGCAAGCTGATATATGAGTTGGTCGCACACCCGCTGTTGATCCATAATCTAATTTCTCATTCCTGCGCCACCGTGAAATCACAGCATGAGTGAGGAAGACGTTGGATGACTGTTGAGTCAGCAAACGCAAGCTTCAAGGGTTCTATCGCATCGGTAAAGCCTGCTAGTTCAGACGCAGCTTGTTTGGCAGTGCATGCTCTTGTCGTCATTCAATTCGATACCTTCTTACCTCCCCCAGTGTATACATTAAGACTAATTTGAGTGGGTATTTGCCTAGTACAGCCCAAAATAAGTTGTTTTCTGGGTGCTAGGCTCGTTTCTAGCAAGTTTCATTTTCAGCGTTGGTTGGTAGCAGCAGTTGATGCACTGAAGAGCCCGTTAGCTTGGGGGATTCCCTTAGCGACTCTGACGGCTTTTTGAATGACTCTTGCCGGATTGCTCATTCTGCATCCTGCAGCTGGCTTCTTGAAACTTGTGATTGGGATATTTCATTGGCAGAACTGAGCCTAATTACCCAAACGTCGATGCGAACGCCAGAGGGGGTTCACATAACTGCCTCCAATTGTCGCTTTATATTGTAGTTCTGCGCCAGAGTCCAGTCTACCGCTTCTGGCATAATGTACGGAACTGCAATGTCCATTTTAAGAAGGCAGAGTAGCAGCTCCAACTTTACCGTAGCCAGACGGAGTGCTGAAAAGATACTGGATTCCCCATTCTGCAGCAATAAATTGCACCTCTAACACTTCATTTATCCTTAACAGACGCGAAAAAATGAAATTTTCAGGCACATGGTACTATTGAGGCGCGCAAAGGTTAGGAGAATGAGCACGTTTTCGGGGCTGGAATCACTTGAGGTCCGAGCCGGAACTCGTTCTCAATGTCATCATCATCCCCCAAAGCTCTGTGTGTAGCTTTTTCTGTTATTTCTGAAGAAGAATTCAATTTTTAGGGAATGAATTTGAACAATATTGCCCAAGAAGATTTAGGTGTTTGACGACTGCCCCATGCTTACGGGCACCGCTAAGGGCCCCTCGGATTCTCGGGGGCCTCCGGCCGAAAGCCGTTTGGCCTTTCCTTCAGAGGTCCAGGGCTTGCCAGTTGTTGCAACAGCAGTTTTTTTGGATGGCAAGTGTCGCCAAATGGTCACTGAGGGGACTGTTCCCGTTTGTTCGGGCGCATCGACAAGTGAGCACGAGCCCTCTAGGAAGCCCGGGGCCCCCGGCGAGGAGAGCTCAGATGACCCGAAGCTCATTAGCCGGAGCCTGGAAGCTGCAGAGAAGGCTACAATGCAGTTCTTAGCTGCTGCAGCGAAAGGATCAGCCGCAGGAAAGGATGAGGAAGCGGACACTGTGGGCAACGACCCGCTGGGCCTGGACGATGATTGAACTATTGAACTGTTTGCTGCTGCTGACACTCTGTGTTTCTAGCAATGCGTAACTTGCAGCTGCTGCTTGACATGACTGCAGCCAGAGGCCTAAGCTGAAGGCCACGGCCTGCAGCCACCGCGCAGCATTCAGATGAATGACACTCTGTAGAAGGGCAAATCCCTCCCCAGGCGGGCCCCTACAAGCGGGCACACATGCACAACTGCAGCAGGGCCATTCTGTGTGTGTCTCGGCTCACCAGTGCTTTCCAGCCAGGTTAATCCTGGGCAAACGCGGGAAACATTTTGTTGCAAATCTTTTCTTTTGTTTGGTCTTTTGCCCTACCGTATCGGTCCATTCTTGAGGCCAGCTCCTCCGCACTCAGAGAACAAAACCCATTTTTTGTGAAGAAGGCGGCCAGTTCCTTCCTTCTGGCGCTCACAGCGTTCATGTGGCTGATCAAAGCTCTAGCCTGTTTTCCCCTGGCCCTCAGAAGCGGGGCGACCCCAGCGGCTTCGCAGTCTTCCGTTGTTGCAATTTCCTGTTTGAATTTGCATTTGAATTTGCATTTATTTTCGCTAACTCGGGCGAAAGATTGCAAGTTGAACACAAACGCAACTCACTAGGAAAGCCTGCGGCGCCCGCTTTCCCGCCAACACCTCCAGCTGCATGCGCTGCTGATTCGGGTTTTCTGTGTCCCACAAAACAGTGAAGAATGCCTTCATGACTGCTGTGGAAAGTCCTGAAGTGGAGCAGCAAACTTCTGTCACAAAGATCGAGTGCACTGCCTGCTGCTGCTTGCATGAGGAGGCCGAGGTGAAAAAGCTGAACTGTGCCGAATCACCTGCTGCGCATGCGGCTACCTCTTTCTGCGTGATACCTGAAGAAACAAAAAAGAAAATTGGACTTAAACAAAAAAGAAAATTGGACTTTTCTCTCAAGTTTGGCTTTGAATGCTGCTGCAGCCGCGCGGAACTCAAAGCTGCAAGAGCCGCCGCACCAGCCAGGATTCTTCATCATGCTGCGGAAATGGATGTCGCCGACCTGCAGCAAAGTGGCAGCAGCGAGTGGCTGCTGCGCCTTTCAGGAATTGAGACTGAGGACTTGACGCACATTTCGTGGCTGCTCAATCGCCTTTATTATTTCTTGCTGAGTGGCCGGGTCGGGCGAGAACATGTCGAGGCCCTCCTGCAGGCTGGAGTTGCTGCAGCAGCTTAACTACAAACTCTAAGTCAGCAGTACCAGGCCCAGGTAGGACTCCATGTGTTCCAGGGCCTCGTCATCTGTGCAGTGGTAGAACTTTCGAGCGGCAGGCAAAGCCGCCACGTGCGCATTCAAGATTTGCAGAATTGCTGCGTCATTGGGGGCCGTTCCGCAGGCTGTCAGAGCCAAGGCGAACTCCCCCAGATCTCCGCCTGAAAAGCAAATTCAACGAGAAGTGCTGCGCTTTTGAGGCAGATCGCGCAGCCAAGCAGCTTGCTGGCGACTTGAATGCATGCTGCAGCGACCTGCTGCAGCCTGGCTGCCTGACACACCCGGAGTGTACAGCGATGGAGCGGTGATCCTGTCATCCAGGCAGGCGAAATGAGACTCCGCCACGTTGGCGAAAATGGCGTCCGAAGGCTGGCCCCAGATCTTCCGCACTTCCGACGCAGAGAGCCCGCCTTCTGCGGACCTGTCTTGGTGGATCTTGACCTTGCTCGGGTTGCTGAATTGTTTCGGCGAAGCCGCACACATCATTTAGCTGCAGAAGGAATGCGAGGCAATTGCCGTGAAACCGAACCACATAGGCACTACTTCAGCCAGCTTTTGGTCCGCTTCCGTCAGACCTGCACGTTGCATAGAGTGTCGGGTGATTCAGCAGCTTCTAGCTGGACGGCGGGGTCACCTTGGTTACAATTGCAAACAGCCCTGTACGTCTTTCCATTGAGTTTAAGAGTGCCTTGAATGAAGGGGTCACCCCGCTGCAACCCAGAGGCTCCGTCGGGCGCACACAAACCCGTAACGCAACGCGCGAAAAATACCCACAAAAGAAAACTCCATATTTGATCCATTTTCACCAAAGTGTATTTGTCCTTGCTGCATCTGCTGTCGAGTCAGTCACTGTTCGGGCATTTTCATCAGTCATTTCAGTGCTCCAGCGCGCACGTTAGGCAACCTGCCTGTACACCTCAGACGCCCTCCTGCGGGCATTCAAAACTCTTGCCGATCAAGTTTGCGGTCCCAACAGTAAAATTACGGCAAGATGCCGTCAGGTTTGGCAAGAATCAACAAACTGGGCACACTAGCCAATTAGTTTTTAAGGCGGGCGACTTTTGCAGAAAATATGCAGCGGAAGCCATGACGCGTACTCGCAAGGCTTGTTGTTAGTTCCATTGCGGTCGACAGCCGTGCCACGATACATTCTGTACTGTGTGCACAAACCTAACCTTCAGGCTCTTCTCTTTAGTCCGTTCTCTCATGTGCGCAACTGACAGCCAATCCAATCGCGCAACTCTCTCTGCATTAGTGTCTACAGCGGGTCGCGGCGAGCGGAATGTCCACTTTAAGACACCGCAAGCGCCACAAGCCTGTAAATGAATGGGCTGCGTATTAGAAAACCAACAAATGAACAGATTGCGCTACTAAGTGCGCATGCATGGGGGAGGCCCCGCTGAACGCTTCCACGAGGCCGTTCCCTAAGGCATTAAAGCGTTTTCTTAACAGCTTGAATTTGGTAGCTTAGTCGAGACACTAGCGCGGAAGAGTGCGGGCAACTCTTTATGAGCAGAAGAGCTCCAGCTGTGCAGCGAAGGCTGCTTGGCTGTGCTGGCTGCGAGCTAGAGAAGGCTGCAGGCGTGGGGCTTTTGCATGCAGTGAGCTCTCTACGCGCGGACTCAAAGTTCGGGGCTTGAGCTGCTAGCAGCGTTTAGAGGGTGTTTAGGGGGCCGCCAGGAGGCGCATCTGCAGCGTGCGTTGGGACAAACAAAAGCACTGGTCTTTAATCGGTTGACGCCAAGTGGGACTCAATGAAGTGTTACCGACCCCATGGGCACTGCGACAGTGACGCTTGCAAAAGGTTCGAAAACATCACACAAAACAATACACAAATACTAATGCGGAGGCCGGAGCCAACTGCAGCGGGAACACAGAAGCAACCCCTACAGAAAGTCACTCCCCGCCAACTGCTTGGCCACTCAACTCCAACCACAGCCTTACTCGCGCAAGCCGGGCTTTCAACTTTAGTGCTAGCTGGCTTGGAGTCAGCTGCGGTGCACAAACACGTGGGGGCCCCCGGGGGGCCCCGCGACGGAAAAAACACAAGTGGAAACAACTTCAAACAGAGAACACAAAAAAAATACCTACTGCGGGCTAGGTATTGTCCAAATGGCGGTGACGAGCAAACACAGAAGCGAGGGTTGCACATTCAACAAGACAGGCGTCAAAGGCACCAAATGCACTCGCCCGAACGACGGCAAAGAACAAATGCAAAGAACTGCTGTCCCGCGGAGGTAAACGAAAACAAGACGCTGAGGCGAAGACGGCGGACTCAGCCGCCACCCCGACACTTCGGCTCGGAGCTCTCAGCACACAACACCTTGGGCCACAGCCTAAAGCACTATACCTTTTGAAGTATTGCGTCTGCGTCTGCAGCGCCGCGGGCCGCCGCCCGCCGCACAACTCTCTCCGCCCTGCCAAGCGCCCCTGCTGCAGCGCCGGCGCAGCTGCTGCGGCTCCAGCCAACTCGCTGCTGCTGCGGCTACAGCCAACTCGCTGCTGCTGCGGCTGCAGCCAACTCGCTGCTGCTGCGGCTGCAGCCAACTCGCTGCTGCTGCGGCTGCAGCCAACTCGCAGCTGCTGCGGCTACAGCCAACTCGCGTCGCCTCGCAGCTGCGCAAGTCGCCGCAGAATGGGGTTGGTCTTCAGGGCCGGCCGGGGCAACGCTGCCACGGTGTGCTTACACCGCAAAGGCACCAGAGACTTCTCTCGGCCAGCAGTTCGCGCGGAGAGCTCCACAATTGATCCTGCTGAGTTCACGTTGATGCTAGGCTCACATTCGGCCTCTCTGGAGGCGCTAATGTCGCTGCCGGTACTTTCCTTCCTCTTTTCTTTGCTTCTCGCTGGCCCCGCTGCTGCGGCCTCCTCCTCCTCCCCCGCAGCGGGTCCTTCCCCGAAACGCTGTCTTGCCGGGTCCGCTGAGCTGCTGCGCACGTCGCGCAGCTGCAGCAGCTGCTGCGGCAGCCGCTGCAGCTGCTGCTGCTTCTGCTGCGCGCCCGGCCTCCGCTGCTGCTGCTGCAGGTGGGAAACCGCCGCCGCCAGGCAATACGCAGCAGCAAACTCAGGGAAAGTGAACGAAACGCGGTGGCCCACCAGCTCCAGAAGGGCCAGTTCAAGAGCTGCCAGCTCCCGAGGCGGCACCCCGCCCACGACAGCCCACATAGCCAGCGGCGTGTGGTCATCTCGTACAACTTTCGAAACAAGAACAAGAGCTGCCAAAAGCAGGCGGTGGGCGTTTTTCTGCGAAATCCGGAGTTGCTGCTGCCTTTGCTGCAGGTGCGTCAGCAGCAGCAGCGCCATCAGCATCTCGTGTTCCGTCGCCGACGCCAAGTGCTGCAGCCGCGTCACGTACTGCCCCAAAGTCCAGGGCGGCTCCGTGCTGCTGTTGAACAGCCCCAGCTGCTTCTGCACTCGGGCGCAGCCGGCGCAGCCGGGAGCAGCAGACGCGCAGCCGCAGCCGCTGCACTCCGGCCCGCCAGCAGCAGCAGCAGCAGCAGCGCCCGCTGCTGCTGCTGGGACGGCGGCAGCCGTCTTTGCAGCTGCCGTTTTCTTCGGTGAAACTCGGCTCCCCCGGCCGCCCTCACCTTCCTTGCGCAGCAGCAAACAGGCCTCCGCATCTTTGGCGGGAGGCTGCTGCTGCCGCTCCGTCTGTTGCTGCAGTTGCTGCAGTTGCTGCAGCTGCTGCAGCTGCTGCTGCCACGGCGAGTGCTGCCCCCGCTGCCGCTGCACAAACCGCTTCGCTGCAGCACGCTTGTGCACACACAGCGGCACGCCGCAGCAGCTGTAGCTCGGCCCCACTCGCCCCAAGTTCGCCGGGCCCAAGTACCCGGGCCAAGACCGTCTTCTCATCTTTTCCACAACACTCCAGATGCTGCTGTTGCTGCCGGCCCGCCCCAGCGCCGCCGCCAGAAGGGCCTGCCGCCCGGGCACATTCACAGCGTCTTCCTGCGGCTGCTGCGGACCCTGCTGCTGCTGCTGCTGCTGCTGCGGTTGCTGCTGCTGCTTCTGCTGCTGCGGTTGTTGTTGCTGCTGCTGCTGCGGTTGTTGTTGCTGCTGCTGCTGCTGCGGTTGTTGTTGCTGCTGCTGCTGCTGCGGTTGTTGCTGCTGCTGCTGCTGCTGCTGCTGCTGCTGCGCGCCCTTGCTGGCGCTGGCGCGGCAGCCGGCGCTAGCAGCAACCACTCCCGCTGCAGTCGCTTCCGCTGTCTCTTCGAGGAGCCGCGAGGGGCCCTCGTCCAGAAGCAGCGAAGCCAGCGGGGAAGGCTGCTGCAGCACAGCGTCGGCGAGAGCAGCAACAGCATGCCGCTGCAGCGGCAGCAGCGCCAGCAGCAAAGAGTCGTGCATCAGCAGCGAGAAGCGGGCTGGGTTTTCGCTGTAGAGGTGCGCCAGCGCAGCGCCTATCCGCAGAGGGGGGCTAAAAGCGCAACAGGCACACACCCTGCTGCTGCTGCTGCTGCTGCTGCTGCTGCTGCTGCTGCTGCTGCTGCCGCTATTGTTGCTGCCGACCTGCTCCCCCACGGGAAAGGCCCGGCGGCCTTCCCCCTGCTGGATGCAGGGGCAGTGAGAACAGTCGCAGTCCTCCTTCAAGACCTGGCGGGCGATTTGCTGCAGCTGCTTGTAGAGCTGCAGCACGAGGACATGGACTTGCTGCAGCGGCGCTGCAGCTTCCTCGTCTTCAGCAGCAGCAGCAGCAGCAACGGGGCGCTCGTCTGCGCCCCCCAGCGTGGACTTGGCCGTGCCGCCCTTCAGCCGCGAGCGCCGGCAGGGGCCGGCTTCTGCTGCAGCAGCAGCAGAAGCAGCAGCAGCAGCAGAGGCAGCAGCAAGCTGGGGGCCCTGGGAGAGCTCGAGGCTGCGGCTGCCTGCTGCGAGCCGGCTCTTCATCCTGCTGCAGTAGGAGGCCGCCGCAGCTGCTGCTGCTGCTGCTGCTGCTTCCGTGCTGCTGCTGCCCTCCACCACCAACTCCATATACCGCACAGCCTCGCGAATCCAAGTGCCCCCGTCCACTGCCTCTGTCTTCTCCTCCCCCAGGCCTCGCCGCCAGTGCCCGCAGCTCCCGTGGCTGCCGCCGCAGCAGCTGCTGTCGAAAGCTGCGCCTCTCGTGCTGCTGCTGCTGCTGCTGCTGCTCTCCACGTAAGACTCGTCGCTCCCGCTGCTGCTGCCGTGTCTCCAGCCGTCGCTCGAGCGGCAGCGGCCCAGCACCACCAGCGGCGTGTCGTCGCTGGCCCCGGCGAACGCGCACTCGCCGCTGCCGCAGCTCTCGCTGTCCCCCTGCTCCGGCTCCTGCTGCTGCTGCTGCTGCTGCTGCTGCTGCTGCTGCTCGGGCTGCTGCTGCGCCCGCGGGTCGCTCTCGGGGTCGGGTCGCGGCTCGCGCGGCGGGCAGCAGGAGACGCCCTCGGGCCCTCGCCGCTGCTGCTGCTGCTGCTGCTGCTGCTGCTGCTGCTGCTGCTGCTGCTGCTGCTGCTGCT